CAGTTACGTATTGCTAATTATTTTCGATTTGCAACATTATATATAGTGACATACGTATTATTTATTTGTTTAATAATTATTTTTGATTTAGACGATTATTTTATTTTATATTTGATTATTTTGACGTGTATTGTTTTATTGAATAATACATATTGTGTATTAAATTAAATAAAATATTTTACCATAATTTAATTACGTATAAAAGTATGTTATAGACGCATATGACGCAGTGGCATATTCGGAGCCGCAGACTGCCAGGGGAGAATAATATTTGGGGCCTTTTATATAGGGTTATATATGCATATACAATATTTTGTGGGCCCATTTTTATTTTTGGGGAGCCCTTTTTGCTACACTGATATGACGTATAAAACATGTGGTAGATGGTAGTGTGCGGTAACCGCATATGACATGAAGACACGTGAGGGTAGACCGCATACGACAAGAATACCAAATTTCCTTTCAATTACGTTAAACCACATTGTACTATTAATTAAGTGATAATTTTTACAAAAAAAAGCTTTTCTTATCTTACAATCTTGGCACAATTCTGTAATATTAGTACAATTAACATTACAAACAGCTTTTAGCCTTTTTTCCGGTGTTTTTTTCACTAATATGCATAATACTTCGTTAACTGATTAAAAATGAGCCAGCCGGTATGTGTTGCGCGTCAGGAAAAGTGCAACTACCGGAAATTGAAACACCACCTGAACCATTGAACGGTTTACTTATTGGTACGGATCCAGATTCTAACCTGTTCCTGTAGTCAATTCGAACATTCAATTCATGTTTCAAAAAATCTTGAATTTCTCGCTTGGTTATGGTTGGTTGTTGTTGGATTATAATATTTGAACCTTAAAATAGTAATAATATTATTATTATTAATTTGTTTATGAATATTCTATCTAATAAATTTGTATATTGTGAAAAAAATAATACTTACGATGTTTTTCTTTGCTATGTCTGATGAGGTTATCTCTTCGCGTGAACACTTGTGAACAAATATTGCAAGAAATCTTATTGGAAACATTGTGTGAATTGAAATGTCTGAGTAGACTACAGATTCTAGTAAAGGTTTTATCGCATACACTGCACGAAAACATGATTACGTTTAAAACTGAAAACACTAGTCGAACTCGCGAAACAAGACTTTACCTTTCAACAAAAAGATGAGTAATGAAATATAGTAAAATATATTTTACTTTAAATATCAGTGTGAAATTATTTTATCTAAGTGATTTACTAGCGCATATGTATAATATATAGTGATAAAACAGCGAACTGTAATTTTTGTTAATAGTATTATTTTTAAAATACTTTAAAATAACTGAGAAAACTTCTGAATTAACACGACTTGTCACTTGAAGCATTGATTATAGAATAGACAGATAGGCAATGTAATGTTAATATTTGGTGACCATTCATATGATGCAGCCACTATGGAGCGCTAGTGCAGAAAATGATGCAACCGCTAAACGCGCTAGTGTAGTGGTTAGTTTATGATGCAACCGGTAAGTAAGCGCTAGTGTAGAAATGATGCAAAGGTGGTGTACCCTCTCATAGGTAGGTAAGCAAAGCAGAGAGTGTCCAGATTCTAGGTGGTGGTACCACTACCATAGTATGGTGAGGAAGAGCGAGGGTACAATAGTTGTCGTTCTAAAAATAGAATATATTATTTCATAATTCGTTATCGCATATCCGATGACCGATATCATTAAATATCCAATTGACTGCTGTTTAGTGTTTAGTGTTTACTGTTTAGTCGTCTCGTTTCTTGTTTGTGAGAGACAATTTTTGGGTTACCAACTCTTACTGTGATCTATGTGATCAGTGATCAGTCTTTAATACAAAAAATAATTTTTATTGTTTTAAGTATAAAATTATCTGAAAATGTCTGACAATAAATGTCAGTATGTGAATTGTGGCAAGTCGAGGAATTTGTTTCCTAATTTACGACTTTATCGTTTTCCAAACGACGAGAGAAGAGAAGTTTGGATAATAAATTTGGGTAAATAATATTTGATTGATCTTCACAGGAAACACAATTCTATTTTCGATTGAACCCGAAAAACTGCATAGGTAATAGGTACATTTGTCAAGAGCATTTCCCACCTGAAAGTTTTACAAATTTTTCTAATAAAAACCGTTTAACTAACACTGCTATTCCCTATTATTATAATAATAAATCTGAGCAACAGCTATGTACATCTTTAAACTTAAATGGAAATCATAAGCCTGAACAAGAATTTATTTAAATATCAACTCCAACTAAAACATATACACATTCAAAATCAAATATGGTAGAGTTAGTTTTCCCAAGTCCCCTTTCTTTACTTTCTTCTACACAAAAAGCTAAAATAACAAATATAATACACATGTCTAGCCCCAATTTAAGAAGAAAACTTGATTCAATTGAAATAGATACTCCTAGAAAATTGAATTTAAAGCAAAAATTACAACAAAAAAACAAAATAATTCATATTAAAATAGTTCATATTTCAAAATTAAAAAAAAAAAATAATCTTAGTACTCGTTATAATTTTAAAAATTTAATAAATTTGCATAATTTTTCTTCTATAAACTCTAAGCCCTAAGGCAATAGTGATTAGTGACTATGTAATTAAGAGATAAGCGTCGTCCGTGGACATTAAATGAAAAACAATTAGCTTTAAATTTATATTATAAATCTCCAGCAGCATATAAATTTTTACGTTCTCAGAAAGTAAATTTACCAGGACCATCTACTATTTGTTATTGGATTGGTCAATCAAAGTTTTTACCATGTTTTAGTAAATTATTTTTTAGTCATCTTCAAAAAAAATTTAAGTCATCTGATTATAAAGAAAAAGTGTGCTCTGTTTGTTTTGATGAGATGTATATAAAAGAATTTGTAAAATATTCAAAAGAATTTGATTATATTGAAGGTTTTGAGGACTTGGGTCATTATGGAAGGATCAATAAAAGTGCCAACTGTGTTCTAGTATTTATGGCCAGAGGTATTTATTCTCAGTGGAAAATTCCAATTGTATATTTTCTTTCTCATTCTGGAGTAAGCAAAAACATTTAAAAAAAAACTAATACAAGATGTTCTTAAAAAATTATTTGAAGTTGGATTGTGTCCAAAAATTATAGTATGTGATCAAGGCACAAACAATCTAAGTACTTTAAAATCATTAAATGTTTCCGAAGATAGGCCTATAATTTCATTTGATGACATAAAAAAAACATATGAGTTAGATAAAAAAAATCTCAAGAGTAGATGTCTCGTCAAAAAACAGATGCACATATTTATCCAAATTCTTTTCAAAAAATGAATGTTAAATTAGCAGCACAATTATTGAGTCATTCTATGTCAGCAATGATCCGAACTTGTATACAAACTGGACAACTTCAAAGTAACACTTCTTTAAATACTGCAGATTTTATTGAATTTATCAATCATTTATTCGATTGTCTTAATAGCAGATCTTTATATAGCCAAAATCCATATCTATGTGCATTAACTGAATCAGGTACTGTACACAATTTCTTAAAAAAAGGCAGAATATTTTACAAATTTTCAAAAATTAAAAAAAGGAAAATTAACTCAACCTCCTTGTTACTCTTTGTTTTCAAAGAAGACAAAGCTCATAACATTGTATTTTTAATGACTAATAGATTAAATCAGGATATATTAGAAAATCTATTTAGTATTTTTCAACAAATGGGTGGTTATAATAAAAATCCAACAGCTAGAACAATTAGGACTTCTATAAGAAGTAATAGTATTTTTTCTTTATGTACATCTAAAGGTACAAATTGTAAGGCAACCATAGAAGATGAAAATCCTATAATATTTGATCCGGTGAAATATCAAAATAAAATAGATTCTAACAATTCAACATTGGCTTCTTATTCTGACACAGAAAGTATTTCTAATTTATCTTTCTCTCTCCTATATCATCTGATGAGGATTCTATTAATGAAAATATAAATAATGGTGTTACTTTGGAAGATTGTTCTGTTTCATACTTTGCAGGATATTTAGGTTATAAATGTATGAAAAAATTTAACTGTGACAACTGTCAAAATGATTATTTGTCAATAAAAACTTAAATGATAAAAAACAGTTGCATCTACTTAATAAAAATTATACTTCAATTGAAAATGAAAATGGGCTTAAAGCATCATCAAATAGTTTAAACAATGTAGTAAATAAAATTTTAAATATTTTTGAAAACAATTATAAAAGCTATTTACATTAAAAAAAATAAAATTTCAACTAATAGAATGCGTAAAAAATAATAACATAGTAAAAAATGGCTTGATGAATCATTAACAAACTACATAGATCATAAAATGTACATAATTGAACAACTCTTAATTTGCAAAATATTTAATAAAACAAAATTATTTTCAACTACTTCAAAATTAGCAAAACTTTCAAAATTAAAAATATTAAACCATATTTAATTAAATAAAATAAATGTTTTCTTGTTCTGGCATTGTACCTATTTGCATAAAACAATAGAAGCAGTATTAATTGTCCTCTATAGGACTCACATTTAATAGTTCTTTTCAGAACTTTGTGTTGATTCTATTAAACAGTTCTTTTTAGGACTAATTACTTCAATTTTATAAAACGGTTCTTTTCAGAACTAATAAACATCACAATTTACTATTATTCTAAATTAATTTATTAATTCTAAATCCAGACTTCAATGTAATGTAATTTTGGTCTATCTTTACTCGCAATCGTTTTTCATAATATGCAGATTTATTGTTAGTTTCTAAATTTAACATATTCAATATGTACCTATTCAATATTAAAATACAACTGCATTATTTTATTTATAAATAATAATAATAATATTTCATTAATTGTATTATTTATGTTGTTGCGATTTTATTTTTTTTAAATTTGAACATAAAATAATTTATTTTATTTTATAAAAAACTATGATATGGATAAAAATTTGCTGTATTGTTAAAATTTGGTAAATCTTGTGTAGTGTATAATGTAAATTGTAATACAATATTTTTTTACAAAGCAGATTTTACTGAATCTTAGCATTGCAAAATAAATTAATTTTTTGTAATAAAATAAATAATTATTGGTCGCGTACAACACAACGTAATAACGCAGAATATGAAAATAATTAATAATAATTTTACAATATTGTGGTGAATGGTGATAGTACGATGCACGGAAAACATCATTTATCTACGACAGGCATGTCAAACACGCGGCTCATTTTTGTGTGGCCTCGGATGCAGCGCAACCTTGGGAATATCGAAAACAATTAAACTTTTTAAAATAATCACTGTTCAATGATAAAAGAATCACCCTGTAATATATAAATTGATGAATATTATTAATATTTATTTTTCATAAAAAGTATAACTTATTTTAATATTTTATAATAATTAAATACATTTATAATAATACCCTCATATATTGCTAAATATTGGTCTGACGGCTTTAGGACTTATGTTCAATTGTTATTTATTTCATATATTTAGTCCAATTTCAAAGTATCTAAGTGATCACTCTTATACTTGCGAAGACGAGTTTCAAAAACTACGTTACTGCATTCACTTTTAAAAACTACAGCCGTCAGCTCAGTGAATACAGGGTTTTTAGTATTTTTACACGAAACTATTAGGGATGGTAGCTGGAGACGTCTGTAACGTTATGTCGGTGATTTAAAGTCGATCGTCTTATTATTCGATTTTTAATTAATTTTTGAAATCGAAATTTGTACAACTGCCGAGTGATTCCGCTGTGCTCGCGACCAATTATATTGTATCGGGTGAGTTTAATATATAGTGAAACCTCTGAATAGTGGACACTCTTGGTCACCAAAATTTTGTCCGTTATTCGGAGGTGTCCGTTATTCAGAGGGGATACATTTTTGAAATCTATTTGTATAATAATGTACTATGTATGTATATATACGTTCATATAATATTATTACTTATTATTTATTGTAAATTATTATATTTTTATATTTTTACAAATTATTATTAATTACATATTATTATTTAAAGTATATTTTTATAATAAAAATCAAAATTATGTACATGTATTTTTAAATTATTTTTGTTTGAAAATATCGGCGTGCTTTGTTTACTCGTATAATTATCGTCATCGCGTCGAAAACCGTCACTAACTGACAATTGACATACTTTTGTCATAACACATAACCGCTTCACCGATAATGATTATTACGAGAGTGCATACGTATGTGAATACGTATTATTTTCAAAAAATA